CTTCTTCTCAGGTGCCCTCTTAAAGTATTGACCTTTTTTTAACCCATTCATGTGGCGATTGCTGTGCTGTTTTTATTGCTCTAGTAGAGAAAATCAATCTGTATTTGAGTTATGGAAGGTTGACATTTTCATTAGTTGGATCCAACAAAGTGAAAGAAATGGACAAATGGAGCTGTAGCAATGGCTGAAGCCTTTTAGTCAGAAATTTCAAGTTTAATTTACCAAGACTTGATGTAGAAGAARCATCACCTTAAACATGTTATGTTAGAATTTTATATTTCCATTTATGTACAGAGGAGTGTGCCTTTTTAGAGCTCCTGCACAAAAACATTTAATGTTGTCGTACAACCAGGAATTTAAATGCATTTTCTGTTATAAACACGGGGAATGAATCAACTGTGTGTCTGCAGGGTCATAAAAAGTCTTGACCATAAAGTCTTGCATAAGTCTAGATTTGTCATTTTAAGTTTTAAAATGCATTTATTTAGTTCATTTTAAATTTATGTTTATTCGTTGCTGCTTCCATCAACCTTATTTTTTAATGTGTTGTCAGCATTCATTCTGTGTTGCAGTACTGAAGATTTTGGGGCAAAAACAAACCTAAAAGGCTGATCATTTAGCATCCCTGTCAAAAGGAATTTGAGGACAGACTCTCTTTGACTTGAATGATTATGGTTGCTCTGCTCTTGAAATAGGTTGTTGGTAATTTTTTCAATGATTTGTTTTAGAAAGAATGAGTTGCATAAATTACAATTCCTTGTTTGTTTAAACGGATACTCAATTAGTTGTAACATTAGACTTTATTTAATGAACAACTGTAAAATAAAGACTGTAAAAATACTGTCGGATGTTTAGTTTTTATTGTTTTTAAACTAAAAGTTTAAAAACTTACTACACGGACGGGGCCATTTTATTTACACACACAGCATTCTGGGTAAATGATCATGTGGATAGGTCTTCAGTGCGAGGCTGCTAGCGAGCTATATCCACCCTGAAGGTTAATCTTCAACAATATCTGATGATCGACTCTTTTAAATGAAACCAGAGAGCGTTGACAGAGAGGAGAAGGTAGAAATGACTCAGCCTGTAACTGAAAATATGGGCTACGTTCACATTGCAGGTCTTAATGCTCAGTTCAGATTTTTTGAAAAAATCCGATCTTTTTGTGTGAACGTTCACATTACATTTTAAAT